GTTTGATAGTCATATGATAAGCATTGAACTAACATGGTTGACAACATCAGACTATTGTTGGAACACTATTCTGGATGGCAGCAGAAGTGATTCAGAATTCAGATGGATACAATGAAAAGGTAATTCTACAGCTGTGTTTATCTTACTTGAGTTTTCTAACATGTTTTGCAGCTTTCACCTCCCATCTATTTGTGCATTCTCTCTATCTCTTTGGCACATATGTGCAACCTGCCATATCTTTGTCTGCTAAGCCTTGTTGAATAATGAGCATTCCATCACTCTAATTCTTTACCGTTACAGGCAGATATATGGTCTTTGGGCATAACTGTGATTGAAATGGCCAAAGGAGAATCTCCATTGGCGGACCTTCACCCTATGAGAGTTCTTTTTATAATACCTCGAGAAAATTCACCTCAGGTAATATCAGTAGTTTTGTTGTCACAGTGAAATTTGTGTCCGATGATTTATTCTTATGTTTCTCATTCTCTTGGTGGAATCATTATGATTTACATTTACAAGTAATCCTAAAATTTCTATCCTGCAGTTGGAAGAACATTTTTCCCGCCCCATGAAAGAATTTGTTTCTTTATGTTTAAAGAAGGTACCTGCTGAGGTAAGCAATTATGCTTTCGGCTTCCGTATGTGTCTGTATTTTAGGTATGTTGTGTTTTCTTGAACTCTGTAAGCTGCCCATAAACCACAACATTAATGTTGATGTGTTGTCTGTTAAAACTATTCTGATGTGTAAATGTCAACTGAACCTGGATTTATTGTTTAAATTGTTTCTGAGTGCTCTAAATTTTCTTGTGCTTTTCTTTAATCTGTTTAATTTCAGAGGGCTAGCGCCAAGGAGCTTCTCAAGCATCGTTCTATTAAGACCTCTAGGAAGAGTCAGAGGCTTCTGGAGAGAATTAGATGCCATCCCGTACTTGGTTCTTTGTGAACTACATGTTATAAGAATCTATATCTTATGGAATTTTCAGTCTCAGCATCTGATATGAAATATGCTTATGTTGTTTGTCTGTTTCTAAAACGTCGTGACTAGGGGATGCTAAGTTTGAAATATCATTCTTACATTATAGTTAAGATGTTTGCACTTTTTGTTCTTAATAGAAAGTGGCCAAAGTAACAATTAAAGGAAGATGCTGAAACCCCCAGAAACGGCCCCAAACCTTTAGGGGAATCAACTGACACTGTGAAGGTGGTAAGAGATATAAGAGGTGAAGGAACTGTTCGAGCTAGGTGGGTTGATCATGTTAATTAGCATCACTTTCTTGATTTTGATGGGATTCTTGCTGACCTCTTCTGATCAGCAGTAATCAGGGGAAAACATTTAGAAGTGCTGGATGGGACTTCAGTATTGGTGGAACGCAGAATACAGGCACCGTTCGAAGCGCTCCAAAGCCTCCTCAAGTTAGAGAAAGGAAACCAGAAATCTCTTATAATCAAGCTATACTGAGACCTCCAAGTGGGAATGCACTGTATGAGTTCCCTGACGTTTCCTTTGGAGAAGGCACTAGAGAGTCACATTAATCAGGATAATTACCATGATGTAAGATTCTCTCTCTTTCACACAAACACACGCACAAAGAAGTTCTCAAAGAAATGCAACTTTCCAATGCATTTTTGCATTTGGCATCATAAGCTCTTTTCTTGTCCTATGTGCTCAATGAAAAGCTCCATTGCATGGAAGGATCTTGGGGTTTCAAAGACTTTTTTTTGACAGATTGGAGCTAAACATATGATTTTTAATTGACATGCACATGCTTTGTTATAAAATGATTAGATTTTTTTAGAATTATTTTCCTGACTGCTTCTAATCTGACTAGAGAAGCTTGCATAGCTGGATTCACCAGCCATTTCTCATATAGTCTGTTTATGTCTCTCACACTTAATTTGATGGTCCTTCTCTGCCTGGATCATATTAAATTGGTTTTGTTGCTTTATTACCAGGATAAAACATCAGTCAGTGGGTCAGGAACTGTAGTCGTGAGATCTCCTAGAGGATCTCAATCATCTGCTTTGGTTCGTGACCCAAGTTCTCTTGTAAGCCTCCTTCACTTTACTCGCAGTTGTCTCCACAAATATATGAAGATGAATTCTTGCTCAAAATTGTGGTTCTTGTCCCAGTACTATACTCAACTTTGGGAGCTTGCCTTTGGACTCTAATTTGGCATAATTTGATCCTCTTACTATTATTAATGTTATACCCTAGTCCAGATCACTAGTACCATTAAAAAATTTCGTTAGTCAGCTGATGTAGACTAACACCAGTATTAATGATTTGGTATAAACCCTGAAGTTGAATATGGTACAGGGGCTAAATCCTTGTGTCTCAGCCGTTGATATTTTTAGATTTCAATGTGCTGTGTAGTCTAGCAGCTAATATGCCTCTTTTGAAGATGCTTCTATCAGTGGAACTATTGTTTTACATGGCCAACATGACGACCCTGATTCTCCTCAAACTCCAAGATCTAGGCTACGTATTCAAGGGAAACCTACGACTGCATTAGCTGAAGATAGTACAGCAAATCTTGCCGAGGTTGTTCACTTTTCATCTTTCTTGATCATCTTACCTGTCGAGATTCCTCCAATACAAATCCGAGTTGATAGAGCATGGAGCTAAAATATATTATTAACTTCTAAATACAGTGTGTATGATCATGCTAATTTATTGAAAAGGTCTTCTTTTAACTTGTCGGTCCAGGCAAAGGCTGCAATTCAAGCCGGACTGAGGAGAGCAAATGCTAGGGACAGATCTGCAATGAGCAAGAACAGTACTCCGGGAAACGGAAACAGAAGAAGAGATCAAATGAGTTAAGAGTTCTGACTCTTCCAGGTAAACCTGATAAAGAAATAACTTTCGGTATCTTCGCCGCAGAATTTTATATAGCTTTGGTTATGATTTGGTTGTGCTGATATCTCTATTGTTATTTTATTCCTGGAGTTCTCATGAATATTTTGACACACAAAGAGCATTCCCAATAACACGTCAACCAAGTGATGATGAAGAAAATGCAAAGATTGCATTATCATCTGTACCACTATCCATGTTGCTTATCCCTTCCATTAAAGAGGTGTGCACCGCATGATGTTTAGTTACGTTTTTCCTTGCCAATTAGTGTGACAGACATAACTTTGAAATGTTGTTCGGATTTAAGCAATGGCTGTATTGAGTTGCTTGGATAGATACAGGTATATCTATAGAGTGTGCAATACCTAGAACTTAATCTCGATTCAGACTCTCTTTCATCCACATCTAAATAACTTGTCCATATTAACTGATTCATATTATGATTGAATGAAACGACTGCGTACCAACTCAAGTTAGTAGGTTATGATTAAAAAATGTTAATAAGATAGATGGAAACTACCAGGATTAAAAGCTAGGATATTGGAAATGGTTTTGACTAGTAGAGTGTTGATACAGGGTCATCTGATTTGAGGTAGGGCCTGCATAATACGTATAAAATTTACGAGGAAATCTGAAAGATGTGATGATTATTCTGCTTCCTGATCAGCTGCTGACATGTGTTAGTTTTGCGTTAGAGTTGTTCACATCTTAATAGTATGTCAATGCATGGAATGTAGGTAATCGCTGATGATTCAGAAGGGTTGGTTACACGTGCGGTTACAAATTCTCATACTAATGGAGTGTACAAAACCTGGATCTTGTGAAGCTCTTGTTTACAAGTTGCTCGATCGATTGGCAAGGTACGTACAGAAAATAATTTATTTTCTATCTCATAGTATCCTCTCTTTACTTGATGAAACTCAAGCAGGCGTAAACTTTTGCAGCTCGAAGGAATCATCAATGAAAGATCTGCATGAGCTTTCATCTCGCTTGTTCAGTAAGGGCAGAACGCAAAATAGAATCCCAGATACCGACAGTAAGAAAAAGGTGCAGCATAAAGAACTTCATTCGAATTCCAACTTGAGTCCACTAGCAAGATTTCTTCTTTCCAGGTTTGACTGAGCATTACTCCCTCACCTAACAAATGATTCATTGTTTGAGAAGATGAGCTCTTTCTTACAGTGTGCTATTTTAATGGGCACTGAACTGTTCCGAAACGTCCAAACATCGTGGGATCTCGACCCTACTTAAAACGGAAGCCGCGAGATCGATTATACATTTCTGCTTCGTAGTGTGGTTTAATTTTATGCATTTGTTCTGACTTGATGTACATAGCATGGCAAGCAATTGTGTATTTTATATCTGCTTCACATTTTTTTGGCATCATTGATGTATAATTAGGGTTTGCAATGTAATCTCAACAAATATTAATCATTCATTAAACATAATAACTTTGGCGATATATCTGATAATTTTCCTGAATGAATGGACCGGCACTGTCTTGGTTTATGGATGTTGACATCAACACCTTATAAATTCACATTTTACATCAAACATCATCAATTCTATAATTAAAATAAAATAACTTATCAAATATTTTACTGTACTGCATAGTAATTTTATGTCATATTCTCATTTTGGATCATGATTGGAACTAATATTTTTAAAAAGTATAGAGATTAAGAATGAACAAATTATAATAATATAAAGATTAAATTTAGAATTTGTATAATAAAAGGACTAATAATGAAATTTGACCAAAATCTTATGATATTGTAAATTGGAAATTGGAATTGTTTAGCATTAATTAGCGTAAAACTGAATGGTTTAAATGTAAAATTACCATTAAACTACTCCTTTTTCTACTTAAATTAGATAATGTAAAAATTAAACATGTGATTGGCAAAATGAGTTTTGGGCAAATTTTCATTAGGAAATTTGTAAAATCGAAATTTTAGACAGTTAGTTAAAAAATAAATTATAAAATTAAAAAATATTTATTTTTTTCAAATAAATTAAAAAAGTAAGTATTAAACTATAAAAGGTTGTAAAGTTAGGGTCTGAAAGTGATTTTGTCCTTCCAAACAAAAACCCCAAGAGCTAAAACCCATTCTCTCCTCTGCTCTGTTCCGCTCCTGTTCTCCAACCCTTATTTCGTACTGCAGACAGCCAGAGGAAGATCCATTCCAGTTGAATAAACAAAAAATGGCAGGCTTCAAGCTCCTTCTCTCTCAATCACGCCGCCTTTCTCTCCCTCATTTCTCCTCCTTTGCTTCCCTCCCTCTCCATAGATCCTTCTCTTCTTCCCAATCTCTCCCTATTCAACCAGTCTCCTACTCCCCCAAGCCCAAAGACCCACAACCAGACCACTGCCCTCAATCTACTCCTGCTTCCCCCGAAGGTCCTCGATCCATGTGGAGCCGGGAGGACCTCCGTTATGTCAAAGACGTACCCAATGTCTCACCCATTTCGTATCCCGCACGTGTGGCCCCTCTCCCCGAGGATTCATCTGAACGAGGTGGGGAGGTGAAGGACGAAGAAAGCGAGGAGATGGCGAGAGAAAGTCGAGGAATTCAGGCGGAAAGTCGAGTTTGGAAGAAACATTTTAGGATTACGGCAGAGGAGGAGAAAGTTCCCTTCCCTTTGCTGATTATGCCTGAAAAAAAGAACGAGAAGCGTGCTGTTCTTGATTTGACGGATGCCATTAGGGAAGTCAAGGTCAGTGTAAATGCTTCTTCTTTTGAAACAATTTAATCTTTGCCCCACAGCGGTAGTAAGTTCTTCATTATATTTCCTATAACAAACAAGCTGTTTATTGTAATTGGAGATTCAGTACTTTGTGTGCGTACTAGCTTAGTTGTTGTATTGTATTTGTTAATTATTGCACGTTATTTCTAGTAAATTGTTCAGGCTACTGCCAAGGCGAATTTCGATGAGACCGTCGAAGCTCATGTTCGGTTGGGTATCGACCAAAAGAGATCCGAGCTGGTATGTATCATTTTAGTCTGTCTGGATTCTTATTTTTAACATTCTTTTGAAGTAATTACATCTTCTGGTTTCTATATTTGTTTGTAAGAGGGGAGATATTTTGTGTACTTACTGCTCCTTGAACTGAAATCCAGATTGTTCGTGGTACAATGGCACTTCCTCATGGTGCTAAGAAGGTTTTCGGAAATTTTTCTTTCAAGTCATGAGAATATATTGCACTAAATTGTTATCTTGTATATTAACAGTACTATATTTGAATTTTCAGGAAGTTAGGGTGGTGGTTTTTGCTGAAGGAATAGATGCTGATGAGGCTAAAGCTGCCGGAGCTGATATTGTCGGTGGCGTGGAACTTATCGAGGAAATTGCAAGTATTAAACCACTCTTGTTAATAATGTTTTCTGTATCTGCTTAATTTATAGTGCTTCCTTGTCTAGGTTAATTATTGTTATATCACCCTTATCAGGGTTTATGCCCTTTAGGTTTTTGCTTATGCATTCCCTCCGTGAACCTGAGCGTGTATCCTTGCAGGCACTGGCAAGGTTGACTTTGACCGATGTTTCTCAACACACAGTTTCATGAAACGCCTTTATAAGGTTCTTGATTTCAGATACTCCTTCAAATATTGTCACTTATTAATGTTATCATTTGGTTCAACTGATTTTGTTTTTACGTCTTGCAGATATCAAAGATTCTGAATCAACATGGTCTGATGCCAAACCCCAAAGTAAGTTTATCATCTAATTGTTATTTTTGTTCATGCATGGCCAAGTGGAAACACCACTTCCCATCGTACTTGCACGTGTTAATTGCATTTCAACAAATCTATCTGACTTGTTACTACCCTTACAACTACATTTATAGCAAGGGACTGTCACCAAAGATGTTACCAAGGCAGTCAAAGAAGCAAAACAAGGTCAAGTAAAATTCAGAATGGACAAAACATCTATTGTCCATGTCGGAATTGGAAAGGTTTCATATCTTACTTATGAACATGATCTTGTGGTTTTAAGAATGTCATTGCTGAAAGCAAGATCATGAAACTTTTCACTTGTACAGGTGAGCTTGTCAGATGAGCTTTTGCGTGACAATGTTGGTGCATTTATGAATTCACTTTTGCAAGCAAAGCCAGCAGGACTAAAGAAGAGTAAGAGAGCTACGCATTATATTACATATTTGCAAATTTGTTCAGTCTTATTGTGACTGTGTTGCTTGGAGAAATGCCTTTCTTGTGTGCAACCGATATAGTGCGGAAGTATATGATCAGAAAAAAAAGGATATAGAGCAGAAGCGAAACAATAAAAGCAAACCCAAAATATCTACTCATATTCTAGATAGGATTTATATTTTAGCCGTAAAAGAGTTGTGATTACATTGAATTACTTTTCCAACAGAATGAAGTAAGTTTAATCTTAAATTTTCCAATCCGCAAACGATAAACTATGAAAACGGTTATTTGTTACCCTTAGTTGCATACTAATGCAATTGAAATAAAATTTATACTAGAAACTTAGGCGTATACATTCATAAGCCAATATAAATTTAAACTATAATCATTATGTCGGATTAACTTCTTAATTGAATAACTTTAATTGGGAATAAATTATAATTAGTTAATATTCAATACGCTAGATAAAAGAATTAAGTATAATATGCACACATAAAACAGCCAATTTGGTGAACTAGGATAGTCCTGCATGACTGCATCAGTAACTTTCTTGCATGGACCCTATTTTCTATCTGAATCTATGTTTATACATAATTTTGGCTTTTTTTTTGCAGCTTCCAAGTATGCAGGATATGTGAACTCCTTCCATATATGCAGCACAGTAAGTTCATCATGTTTATTTATATTGCATTTTTAGCCGCTGTCATTGATACCCGTTGCTTTTGGAAACGAGTATCCTTTTATAAACTACTCACTCTATGTGCTATGCTTGTGAATTATGATTCTTGTCAATTTTAACAAAAATTCAAAAGTATTTGCACTCTAGGAAACATGGCTAAGCTTAACATTTGCTAGAACTCTCGGTTGCATGTTTGAATGTTCTGATATAACCTCTTTCGGATGTTGATTATAAATGCTTCACTTGAGAGATAGAGAGAGAGAGAGAAGAAGAATGAGGGTCTTATTGTATGATTCCATGAACATGCCACCATATGAACTATGCATCATCTCAGATGTTAATTCAATGTCAATTGTCAACTGACGCTAACTTTCCCGTGATATGTCGGGGCTTGCTCAAGTTTAACTTGTATCATCTGATTCGTCAGAAGTGTTTCAAATTTAAATGGCTGTGTGCAGATGGGTCCGGGTTTTCGTGTCTCTATACAGTCGTTGTCCAGAGCAGCAGATCACTACAGCAAAGTATATCTTAACGCCTAATTCATTTATCCAGACTAGCAGAACACTACGGTGTAATTGCATTTCATTGCCCGAGTGGATGGTTCCTTGGCAACCAAAGTGCATTCACTGAATCTCTTCAAGATTTAAGGTTTTGTCTAATGCCAAGATGTTGGTATAGGATGATTATAAGAATCTGGCTACGATTTTGTTTTCTCTTGGATTTCTTTGTAATCCATAGTATTAAATAACGATTGCAATTGTAGTTGTAGTGTCGCGGTTACGGACGTTACATCATGATTTGTTTCTTAAAAATAATTATGTTTTAAATTATGGATGCAAATGCAATTGTAGTGTCGCAAAGATTTTTTGAAAAAAGTTACAATGTAATTGTTTCTCAAATTTTATGGTAGGAGACGTATTTTAAAAATTTTAAAGGAGAGAATTTATAAAGTTTGGGGGGGAGAAAATGTATTATTAAAAAATATTTAAAATATATGATGTTGAACAGGTGGCGAAGGATGATAGGATGGATTTCTGGTTTTTCAACGCCATATTTTGAGGCGGAATTAAATCATAAAAAGGAACAGAATAAATTTTTGAAAAACAAATTGTTCGGCGGATTTAAGACAAAACCAAGATTGGCCCCACTTCAGAGTGGTGATGCCGTTGAAGAATGTTCCAAGCCTGGACATTGTTTTATTGTTTATTAATATTTTATTTGATTATTAAAATATATAAGAATAAATAAAACTTGACATCGACAATAACAATCAACTGGAACATCATCGATTATAGAGGTGTCTGATCATTAAATGGAACATATAAAAGTTCAGAAGATGGTATTAATGCGTGACATAATTGATGAGATTAATTGTGATGGTATTAATGAAGGAGCAATAAGAAATAACATTAATGTGTATATAATAAATGTCGGATCTGATAGTATTGATGTATAATAATTTCGTGTCAAACTTGAAATAAGTGAAACAAATAGGATGAATATTACATTGATGGACTAAACGTCAATGGAATAGATAGTGTAAACTTGAATTATCTAGAATTATAACTGATTCACATACGTCTTTTTTGTCCGTTGATTTTATACAAGTTATCTAGAATGATAACTGATTCAGGAATAGACTGTCCAAACTCAAATGATCGTGACAAATGATCACTGGATGTGACATGCCATACGTTTAAAAGAACATTACAAGTTTTAAACGAACATAATAAAATAATTGAATATGTTTTAAATAAGATGTTAAATATAAGAACTGATAGAAGAGAAAAAGGTAAGAAGTAGAGGGGAAGGGTATGGGCAGATGACATGTGAGTGGAACTGAAATAATGGGGCAGAGTTGGCCTGCAAACACGTACTTTGCTATTCCATCCAAATTGCCTAATTTGATTGCAAACCCAATCATTTCAGCAAATCACGTGCTCCATTCCAAACTTAATATAACCAATGCTACCCCACACTCTTTCATCATCATCCTAACATTTTCTTCATCCTCTCCTTCAATCTCTCCATCATTTTATACTATTTTCTTCATATATATATATATATATCCTTCAAATACAACTAATAGAAGCTAAATCTTTTAGAAAATATAATATTTATTTTTACCACTAAATTCACTTAATGGGTTCTTCTACAAAATTCACTCAAGATAGGATTCGTTGATGCAATCTAAATTTAAAAGTTTTATATATTTTTTTAAATTATTAGTGAACGAAAATTGATGATTGAGATTAATAATAAAAGTAAAAAAAATATGAATTATCCTATTTTAAAAGTTTTAATCTCAATCATTAAACTCATTTGATTCACCAATTCAATATATATATATATATATATATATATATATATATATATTAAATTTTACATTATATAAGTAAATTCTAACTCTCTCTATTCTATTATATATAAATGAATATTTTTTATTAATATGGGGTAAATACACAATAATATTTGTTCTAAGATAACTTTTAATCATTTGATATTAAACGCTCAAAACCTTAATATTTACAATGTTTAAAATTGAGACCTCAAAATACTTATTTTCTCATTAAAATCGTGTAATTCGTGCATAAATGAATACTTAATAAATCAATTGGTTTAATCAATAACAAATAAGTTCTCATTCCCAAGTATGGGAAAACTGAATTATGTTATTTTTATGTTCGTTTCATATGGATATTAATTTTATAATTATAGTTAAATATTATATATTTAAACATAATTTATACTTTATTTTTTAAGTCTCGTGTTATATTTAATTATTTTTATAAACACGTGATATATATATATATATTACTATTTTGTTATATAATGGCAGATTTTTCACACACCACACGTGATATATTTATGTATATAGAAGATAAAACAATTATATTGAGAGAGAAAAAACCCGAAAAATATGTAAAACATTGTGGATTAGGCGGCAAATATTAAGACTAATTAAGGATAATAACTAATAATGCACGATGGTACAATCATGAAAGTGAAATCTAAGTGGGGCAATATAGCATTAATTAGCAGTCATTTCAAGCACATAAATGGAAACTTCTTAAAGTTCCTAATCTAATTAGTAAGTCCACATGCAATCAAGCTCAGTATGGGACATCCTGCCATCGGCAACAGAGCCAGTGTTGCCTTCCTCAGATAAGCCCCCCCAGTTGACAGATGAGCCACCTTGAAGTGGTGGTGGCGCCGTCTGGTAGAGAAAGAAAGGGAGTTGCGAATTCTCCTCAAGAGACCTCAAGCTTGGAAACACTGGAACACCCACGTTTCTTGTATACCTTGCAATGGAATCGAAGCTGTTGTTGATCATTTGGAGTGGAGGTACCGGTGGCAACGCAAGGTTGAATCCACCTTGGTAGGTTGGAAGGGTGGCAGCATTGGTGGAGAAACAGGACACGTGCTCGGATTGGTTATGGCTGTCGTAAGAGCAGCTGTCATGGTCAGTGAGGGAGACGCTGCCAGTAGCAGCCGTGGGATCCAGTAGCGGTGGAAGGGAGACCGAGGAAGGAGAGCTTGGTTCTTGGTAGAGCAGCATGGGGGCGGAGCTCATGGTGGCTCTCTTTGCTCCTCCGCTGCCATTGCCGGTGCCACTCTTCTGAAAGACCCTGGATATCACCCAATCATCCTGGAATAATCAAATAAAACACATGCAAATTTTAGCAAACAGTTAATACTTGAAACAACAACTAGAGGTTCCAAATCACCATGAAAATGGCAGATTATCGTACAAAATTCATCGGTTGAGTAATCAAATCAAAACAAAAAGGAAAATGACCATCATCCAAAATAAAAAACAGTAAGAAAACACTTCATAAATGAGATTTCAGGAGTCTTTTCATTGGAATTCGTGTTAACAGAAGAGTGAAACTGTTAAACCTTATAGTGCTGATCAGATCTTGCATGTTAAATAGTAATCTTTAACAAGTGTATATACATGAATGGAAAGATACCATTTGCTTTTAACGTACAGATTTAGAGAAATACAGTGCATTGGCCAAAAGTCCAAATGCTAAAAGCTCTTTTTAAAGAGATGATCATATAACTGTTAGATCACAGTGTTAATCTGACAAGTAAAGGCAAAAGAGAACAGTAAACACAGATTAATGAGTTTCAATTCATTGTTCAAAGAAACAACTAGTTGCTTTTAACATGCAATGTTACTTTAAAAATTTCCATTTTCATCAATAGAATTAAAGGGTTTCCCATTGGAATAAGTGCAAAAAGACATGAAGTTTAGTATTTCATATACAAAAAAGAAGCAATCAAAGTGAAAGAGAGAAGGATATAGACCTTGGAGCTTCTGCAGAGATAATGGTAAGCAAATTTGCCTTCCAGGCGATATTCATGCATGACCCAGTTGCTTTTCTCTCCTTTAGGAGCTCTTCCACTATAAAAAACCAGTGTCTTCTTCATCCCAACGAGTGCACAAGTCTTTGAACTATAAATCTCTCTGTCTTTCCCAGTAGCTTTCCAATATCCAGCTTCGGTTGCTCGGTTAGTTCTCAACCCAGTCGGGTACTTCCTATCCCTTAAGCTAAAAAAGTACCACTCTTTCTCTCCCATTTTCGCCTTCTCTGCAACAATAATTCATGAAACAGCACAAAAACAAAAGACTTAATAACATAATCATTATGTTACATCGATTTATGTGAAACGAAGAAAAGGATAGTAAAACGAAATGAAAATGATTGCTAACCAGGAAGTTCCCAAGGCTCACACTTGTTGAGGTCAACCTCAGCTATGGCTCTACCAGTAAAACTACTATCAAGAACTTTCTTGAACAGGTAGCATGTAATGAGCTCTTCATCTGTTGGGTGGAAACGAAAACCCGGAGGTAAATGTGTTTCGTCATTGACGAAATGATGATAACTATCCATTTGCTCCAAAAAAAACCCTAAACTTGAAAGACAAAGTTGAAGGCAATGGAGTGAAGAAAAAAGGGCTTATATTGGGATGGATTTGATGAATGGACTGAGGGGGGGAAAGGGGCAAATAGTTATATAAAATCTGTGTGTATATGTTTAATATGAGATTCTGACCTGTTTCTGAAACCTCTCGGTTTGCTCTTCCCTTGTGTGTGAAGGAAAAAAGGGTTTTGAGTATGCGTGCGTGTGTGAGAAAAGGGTGCAGTGGCAGGTTTTCTGAGTGTCAGTGAAGAAGAAGAAGAAGAAGAAGGGGAAGGGAAGGGAGGGGGAAACAGAAAGAAGCTTTTATGAGAGTAAAGTCATTTGAGAGGAGATGGAGGAAAAAGGGGAAAGAAAGATGAGATTTTTCACCATGAATCGATAAGTTATTTCATATCTTCATCGTCAGCACTTGACAGTGACATTGTTATTTCCTAAGCCTCCCTTCCATTTCTTTTTAACAAAAGCAGTGAATTAAAACTTAAAAGGGCAACTTTACTGTGCCGTGGATTAATTTAAGACTGATATAAGGTTAATCTAAAATATCACCTGATTTAACTTTAAAATTTATATAAATTGAAAAAGTTACATTGCAATGGATTTTAAATTTATAACTAAAAAAATTTATAAAATTTTCACTTACAATCGAAAATGTAAATATTATATGGAAGTTAATATTTTCTATTTTAATTTAAAATACCACTATATCTAACTTAAAAAGTTAAACTTCAACATTTTCAATTACAATCAATTTATGTCATTTTCTAATCTTATATTAACAAATTATATTTTAAACTC